ACACACACACACACACACACACACACACACACACACACACACCGTATGACATGTTTAAAATGGAAACCACAAAAGGCAGATCAATAAATTTTAATTGGTTGAATTTATTAAAACTCTTCACCTCAAACTAAGAAGCACCAGTACATCTAAGGATACATGTCCCACTAAGAGAAGCAGTGACCTGCCCATGCAGCTTGAGAGACTAAAAGCACGAGGTAGACAGGAATGTACCCACACCGGGAGATCTCAGTGAGCCACACTGTGATGGGAGAGCAAACTGTCCATATCCCTCTGGTCCCTTGGGCTGGGACCAGAGGGAAGAGCAAACAGCTTTTCTTTACAGGCCTCTGTGAATCCCTGCATACAGCACCCATTAGTAAATAAAGACAATAAGGTCCGTAAAAAGTTAGAAAAGCAGCCACCACCCGCAGCACAAGAGCCTTCACTGTGGATGTTGCAGATTCCATGAATTGGACTCAACTTTCCCTCGACTCTCACACTTAAAACTTCCAACCCTGGGCCTGTGAAGCCCTCACGCCCGGCAAGACCTGCAAAGGATTCAACTCTGCCAGGCTCTCTTCCTGATATGATCTCTGGGCCTGGGAGAGCATGAACCCACTGCGGCCAGATGGCTCGGCTCCGTGACCCAGGCAAGGAGATGGGGAGATGGAGAGATGGGGAGATGGGGAGATGGGGACATGGGGACATGAGGATGGCAGTCCCAACCTCCAGCTAAAGGGGCATGGTGGTCAGACCCACAGCTGGGAGCAGCCATAACCAAAGGCTCAAGTGCTCCTGGCTGATGGCAACCACAAATACCATCAACACACCACAGATTCGGGGACCTCAAGGCTCTGGTGTAGAGGGGGCTGCGGCAGTAAAGTCTCATTCTAGGGCTCAATGGCCACGTGAGAAGAGCCATGCCCTCTCGCTCAGCTCCAGGGCCTCACCACCACACACACCCTCATTAGGGGCCACCCAACCCGCCTGCCCCTCCACCTGGCTCCTCCAGCCTGAGCAGCATCTGTGACCCTGGAATGGTCTCTGGCCTAGGCCTGAGGAACCTTCCTGAACTCCCAGCAGTTTCCACCTCACAACCTCGCACTCTTCAGCCTGGGCCCAGACCCTGCCTGCCCACCTCCCCTGCTCCCTCCCCTTGGCTCAGCAGGGCCCTCAGAACAGAACAAGGGAGAGGCTGGACGGTGCTGGTGCCCCCGGTGGACTCCAGAACCATGGCAAGGCCAGGCAGGGGCTGGCGTAAGTGCAGGCTGGCCCTGTTCTCAAATGAGTGTCTTTATTGCTTGTACCGAACAAATACAGGGAATAAGGCCGGTGGGGAGTGGAAAGAGTTGTCAGATAAACCACATACACACACAGAAAGGAAAAAGGAGCCCCCAGACCCAAACCACCCCTACCCCCCACATGCCTTTCTGAGAACTGGGGAGGTGGGACAGGGAGATCAAAATCACAAAAACTAAATTCCAAACACCCCAAGACATTGAGGAGAGGGGGAGGGGGCAGGGCAGCAAGTGGGTCCAGGCGCCCACTCCCCCCCAACAGGATGAAGCACCCGGGCCAAGGTGGGGCCCGAGCCCACACACACCACACACACTCGAGGGCTTGGACACGCTGCCCTCACACACGTGCACACACAGCCATGTGTGTCTGCATCCCAGAAGCAGGGATGCCCACGACTCAGTCCACGGCACATACACATGTGCCCACAGCACAGATATAGACTCTCGCTCATGTTCACCTTAAGGCTTCGGAACGTGGGCCCTGGAGACCAGGAGGGAGTGAGGGGGCCTGAGACCCTGTTTTCAGAGGCTCCCCCATCCCAGTGCGTACCAGAGATGCC